TTTTCCCCTCTTAGACACTCACCCTACATCACCATAATTGAAGGTGTTGATTGAATTATTGACCTAACTATACACCTCTAAGTCTCATTATCAGATATCGACATCCTTATTCCCAAACCTGGCGCCCCTTCCACTTCCATCTTTCATTCACTACATCATTACATTGACCAATGACATGAAGATACCATAAAAATCTATCACACCCACCATTTAACAAGCCTAGGGCAACTACTAACAAGTCATGCTTGAGTAAGCTAGCCTCAACTCAAAAGTGAAATCTTTTATAGACTCCCAACACCTACCATGACAAATGAGATGAACATACGCTAATCCCTCCCTCCGTCCACCATTGTCTTCCCCTTCCCTTCGTTCTCATTATTACCTAACTCTAACACTAAATCAATATATTATCCTGACACCCAACCCCTCTCAAGCCATACACTTAGAACGATGCGAAATGAATATATCCGTGAAAGGGTTGGTATATATTATCCTGACACCCAACGCCTCTCAAGCCATACACTTAGGACGATGCGAAATGAATATATCCGTGAAAGGGTTGGTGTAGCTCCAGTGGCAGACTGAATCAGAGAAAGCCGTCTTAGATAGCTTGGTAATATTAAGCGTCGACTATCTGATGACCCAGTCAAGAAAGTAGATGTTTTGACTTATGTTAAGAGAGGTGGAGGCAAAACTAAAAAGACTTAGGCATGTGGTAAGAAAATGATATTAATTTATTAGAATTAAATGAAAATGTGACACTCAATGGGACACAAGATAGAAGGATTCAAGTAGCTGACCCCACTTAGTGGGATAAAATAGAAGGATTCATGTAGTTGACCCCACTTAGTGGGATAAAGGATTCTTGTTATTGTACCCAACCCCTACATAGCACCATCCCTATTTTTGCTACTATGAACATTAATGAAACTAACATCTAATATCTTCTCATTCCCATCATTCCACATATTTGACTTCTACTTCTTGTCTTTCTCCACATTTTTGACCCCCAACCGACGACACCATAATTAATAGTGTTGATTGAAGTCTATCCCTAACTCTACACCTCTTAAGTCTCATTATCAGCTATCAAAACTCTCATTCCCCGATTTGTCACTCCTCTTTTCCATCTTCTATATATTCTCGTTAATCCTAACGATTAAAAAAATGATGTAATAATATCCCCTCCTTTTGTTTTGCTAATTTTAACCATTGATTTGTTAGACGGCAACCTCCATTAACTTATCTCTATGTCTCTGGTTTATTGTACTGTCAACCCACTTCCTCCAATGATTTGCTCCTTTCCTATCAAGCATAGAGATGATATGAAAAGAAATGCAAGATAATTTGATAGGAGAATATAACAAATCTTGAAAAATAGCAAATCCATAAAAAGAAGACAATAATGCATACATATAAATGCATTCTATATAGAAATAAAATCATCTACCATCCTTTAGTGCATATAGAACACTTTTAAAATGAATTTATTTTTTAATTACGTTTTAACATGCAAAAAACACACGAAATAAATAAGAATAAGGTCACTAATATTAATTTGCGACATATAAAAAATATTACGAAACTAAAAAAAATGGCATATGATGCAAATGCAGGAAGCATATAAAGTTTGTGTACTCATAAATAGTACAAATTATGATATGAATCCCCATTAGTCTTTTAAGAATAATTTGTATGTGGACCTTATGAATCCTTTTCTAGTCATTCATATTGAGAGCTACATAACTTGTTAATTATGACTTTATGCAAATCATTTACCAAAAGTTCAAGCTTGACTACCTTAGGTCCCTTCATATCAATGTTATCGCCCGATATTATCCATAAATCTTCAACCTTATATTCTACATGCATAAATGAAAGGTATTTGTTTGTGATTTCTTGAAGGATTAATTGATAATACTGAATTTATATTGAGTTATCTAGAGTATGGTTTCAGCCGGCTTCCAAGGGTTAGCCAAGAGCTTAATGAAGTGTAGGGCTATTTTGGAAGGTGGAGTTATAGATAAGGAGTGAAGTTAGATTTTGGACTTTGCAAAAATGGGAGCAACTAGAGGAAATAATAGTAAGGATAGGGTGGAGGGCCCTCACCATAGAAAAAAGAACTAACAAAGTACTTCGACGAATGAAACCACCACCACAGCATCCCTCTAAGAAAACAAAAAGTGTTTAATGTATTCAATGATTCATCAAGATCACAATAAAATTGTATATATAGAAGTACAAATAAGTATATTGAAGGTTTTGGATCCACAACTTAATGAAGGGGGAAACCAAAGCTACAAAAGAAAGAGATTACGCTTGATATAACACATGTTGAATTGCATCGAAGGAGAAAGCTATATGCAAGGAGAGTGGCGTTCTTTTCTGGATGCCCCTTGATCTTCCTTATATGAGAAGAGTTAACAAGCACACAAAAGGAAGAAAGGTCTTTTTTAATCCATTTGTTGATCTACTTACCTTGTGATGGAGAAGGTTAGACATGTGAGGGAGAGCCACTCCTCCATTGTAGAGATTTGCTTAAATTTTATGAAGTTAAGCACCATGTCGTAGCTTAATAATGGGTTCTTGTTCTTCATAATCTCCTCCAAACTCCATATAGCTAGAATCAATGCAGTCATCATAGAAATTGATGCTAGCTTCCATGATTTAACAGCGATAAACTAACTTTGCATGAAAAGAGGCATATGCTACAATGGATG